TCAGTGCCCACGATAAGAAACAGCTGTAATGTTAATAATCCCACGCAGTTGATTGAATCCTTATAATAAGACGTGGATAATATGTATTTACATCTACTCATTACAGCTTTTGAAGGACACCGTCATAAACTGGAAGCTCTTTGCAACAGAAAATTAAAATTAAATACAGTTTAGTTTACAAAGTAAACATAGAACTTATACTAATTTGACATTCATTTGTGGCAACTGGTAAACTACAATGAGAGAAAACAAATAAATACATTGCAAAAAGATCTCGTCTCTCTTTTACTTCATAATGAGAACAAAAGTATTTGGATGTTCTGTTACAAACATTGGATTGAGGGATTCTTTAATTTTACCCTTGCAAATCATTAACATAGTGGAGCTAAAAGAGTTCTCGGCTTTCAGTATTAATTTGTTGTATATACCAGCCTTATGGGCGTTGTATATTATGTTTTACTCATTTTCGTTCGTCGGATGCGGCCCTTCAGTATGTTTATATTACCATTCCTTCTTTACCGGGACTTATCTCCGACTTAAAAAGAAACTTTGTGTTGCATTACTCGATCTTGTCGTGTTATGAGATTAATTAGAGTAGATATGTTCATGAGAGCATACTGGTGAAACAGGAACTTGGGGAAGAAATAAGCCTTCAGATGAAAACAGACAGACATTGATAAATTATGAGGAAAAACTATTTAATATAGAATTGAGTAAAATTATGTTAATTAACGGTCTAATGATTTTGGTTCACACCCTTAATTTGAAGTGCAGAGGCTTCCTCGGGGGAACTATTTGAGTCGTTCAGTATAATCGAAACTGGTTTCGTCGAAACCAGTCGCCAAACAGCGCTTTCCCCTTGAAAGAATCTTTCAGGTATTTGGTTGTTGCTGAGGTCAGAGAGGGGTTGACTGTTGTGAAAGTTTGTGAAAGTGAAGTTGTAATTTTTTCTCTTGCAGCACCAAGATCGAGTTATGGATGCACTTGAGAAGTTTGGAGGGCACTCAAAAAGCTAGAGTTGCTCTCGGCTGCGCCTCGAGCTACTCTTAAGCATTTTTCGTGCTCTCCAAACTTCCTGCATGCATCCATAACTTGATATACGCACGTTAAGCATGAACAAAATCTTAAGTGCTCGATAAATTTGAGTTAATTTCTCGCACCAAACGGCAAAGAACTATCCCCAGTTCCTATTTGCTTATTCTTATTAAGTTTTACGAACGATAACAACGACTCAATCCATGTTAAGTCAGATACTCAGTCAGTATCTTACGTGCAATTACTCGAATGGCCCGGATGCATGAACTTCGATTAACTGCGCTTGCTTTGCGATGTTCCATCCGGGCTACTGCCACTGAAATGGTGGCGATAGCTCCCTAACACACACGAAAAGTTGTTGGTGGGGTATCATAATTTATCTCTGCAAAACTTTTTATTATCATCTTGTCGCACGTCAGTGAGTAGTTTTCAAATTTTAGTTCCACCTAAACGACAACTGAAAACAAACTAATCAATGGAGAAATTTTCCGTATTTACATATAGCCTCATCTAAGTAATCTGGGCTGGGTTGTTCAAAGCTGGGTTTAGATAACCCGGGGTGAGTGTGAAATCGGATTTCAGCTCTAGAAGCTTTTAAGGAAAATTCAGTAGAATTCTTTTTGTCAACAATTTGATGATTGGATGCTCCATATAGAGTAGAGAAAATGATCCCAAAAAGGCTATCGAACAAAGAAGTATAGAAATCCAGATTAAAATTTAACCCTGGGTTAGTGCTAATCGGCTTTCGAAAAACTGGGCCCTGAAGGACTGGGTGAACTCGTGACAATTGTGTATACCCAAGACGAAGTCGAAAGTTTGCATAACTTCGAGGAATTCACCAAGCCAACCTAATGTTTAAACGAGGCTCTGTAATTAAACAGAAAAGGTCTTCCCATGTATTCAGTTAAACATATTTAGCAAAAAATACCAATCCATGTAGCATTGTAGGTGTTGACATACTCTCGTCAAAACACGCTGGTTATCGACTAATGAAGGTGTGCCTAGTATCTCAATGGCTTTATAAGGCTTAATGCATTATTGAAATGGGACTCCATAATAAAAACGATTCTAAAACGGACCAATTAAGCCAAAAAAAAACTTTAAATTTTTACACAAAAATGATGTTAAAAGATCCTCTTTTCTCCCACGATATAAAACGTTAGACTCCTCTAATTGACTCTTTCTGCACTAGTCTTATTCTGCTTTAGAGAATTTTTTGTTTGTGTCTGTCTCCATCGATGTACATGGACTAACCAATAACATCTCTAGTTACACTATAAAATTTGTCGGTATAGACTGTAAGCTGTTATGAATTACAATCATTCACGGGAGAGAAATACGTAAATAAGGACATGTATTTGTGTAAAAAAGGCTGGATAAAATGTATAGTTTTGGACTGCCTCGCAAAGAGTTGATTAACGGTATTTTCTAACAAAACATTTAAAATACTACTCTAAAATGACTTTGCGTACAGCCACGCTCTCCACGTCAACTTATTTAATTTAAGTCATTAAATATTTAAGGCTTGGAAGAACGACTCTAACTTTTAATCATTGTTGTACCCTATTAAGAGAGGAGTTCCCTACATACAGTGACCACCTGCAGCATGGTATGTTAAAAGACTCCTTCTTTGTACAACGTCTTCATTAAAGCTCATTAAAACCTTAACAGTTGAACGGAGACCGACGTCCACTTGTCAGCCTCAATAAACATTCAAACATCCTTTTGTGGCATGATCATACCGCAAAGCAGTGGAATAAAAAGGAGAAAAAAAGAAAGGGAATCAAAAAGGTCTTTATGCAAAGGTAAAGTTATCATGGAGACTTAGAAAAGAGATGTATGAATACGGGCAGGCTTAAGCTGTTCAGCCATAATACATCGTTTTAGGGTTATCGTATCGCTTTTACGACAGTCCTAGTCAAAATTTTATTGCGCAAGGAATGGAATATGGAAAATGGGGTGACGAAATATTAACGTAAGAAAACAAATTCTAAAGGCATTTTTCCTAAGATCAATTAGAAATATTTTAATCATGAATCATGTCAATGTAGTTTTGGCAAAAAGTTGATTTATCACGCAACATTTTGGTTTCACTTTGATATCACCTTACAGTCAAGAAATAAATTATGCTGCGTTGATATGTGTCACCCTTATTAGTCTATGAGCTAATAATCGTCGTCATCATTCATTAACTTATTCACCTGGAACTAATGGAGCCTCAATCTCATTGCATCTGTCGAAGTTATGCCCTGAGACACGTTTGTTGAAAATCCAGTTAACTTCACAGATCCGAAGCCATAATTTACAGTTCTCAAATTGAGGGATAGTATTTTGGGTCTTGGTACTTTTGAATTTTAAAGCGATCAAAGTTTCTATCTTGAACGTAAACACAACTAATAAATTAAGCTTTGTGGATCTGAATCTAGAAGGACTTTCGAGAAACAGCTCCCTGGTTTCTACACTCGCTTAGGTCTTTATTCGGCTCAGTTTGAGAGTTAATCTCCAAAACCGTTGAAACAATTAATCGACGACTCTGAGGATAACCCCTAATCGCCAGATTCACCATGTTAGATATCGTCATAAAAATTTAATTGCTTCTCAAGAATACTCATATCCGGTATTCGTTGATGACTTCGATATTTGGTTTTCTAGTGACAAATGTCCAAAATTCTGCCAAGTAGCTAAACAGAAAAAAAGAAAAACACCTCTACCATTATACCTAGTTTGCATACCAAATGTTAAATCATTAGCCGATGAAAAATCCAAATTTTAAAGATCGAACAACGTAAGCTTCACCTTCATCATCTTGCATTATCCTTTGGTTATTATTATCATCATACGCATTCCTTCCACAAATTTTCCGGTGCTAATTACAATCCTTTCTCGCTGGAATTTTGAGAGTGTGCTCATTACTATAGTATACCTTTTAAATGAAACAGTTTTTGCCCTTCTTTCACGCCTTCTCTCACAATCCCCACAATATGTTATTGTTAATGTTTCATTAGCTAATTCCATGACCATCTGATGTGGTCTTAGGGGCCCTCTTTTATCAAAACATGGTAACCTTTAAATACTTTTTGACGTGAGACTTTTATCCCAATTAATAGTTAGTGGAGAGCCAAAGAATTGCATTTTGATTTTCGTGTTTCTGTTGTGGCCATATCAAACCGTTATTTCAATTCAACCGACTTACAAACTTCCTGTTAACCAGTACATTAGAAACAGCTGTAATGTTAATGATCCCACGCAGTTGACTGATTCCTCATAATAAGACGTGGATAATATGTATTTACATCTACTCATTAAAGCTTTTGAAGGACACCGTCATCAACTGGAAGCTCTTTACACCAGAAAATTAAAATTAAATTAAGTTTGGTTTGTAAAGTACTTTATTTTTACTAAGGTTTGTAATCACCATGCCTTCATTTCCGGAACTCATCTCCGACTTAGAAAGAAACTTTTTGTTGTATTACTCGATCTTGTCGTATCATGAGAATAATTAGAGTAGATATGTCTATGAGAGCATACAGGTGAAACAGGAACTTAGAGAAGAAATAAGCCTTCAGATGAAAACAGACAGGCATTAATAAATTATGAGAAAACACTGGTGCGCCCCACAAATAGAATTGAGTTAAGCGATGCTAATTAACGGTTCAATGATTTAGGTTCACTCTCTTAATTTGACGTATAGAGGCTTCCTCAGGGGAATTATTTGAGTCGATCAGTATGATTGACTTCTTTGTAAATTTCATATCCACGCGACGCCTTTGGATGCCGACGGATATAATTAGACTCGGATTCACCTGTCAGAGTAGCCTATAAAACTTCTCAGAATAACTAGTTAATCATTCTGATCACGACTGGGTGAACTGAAGAGAAGCAGACATGAACACAAGGTGGATTATACTCTTCTCCTTTTTTTATTTGCTGCTTCTGAATAATCAAGAAGAAGCCCAAGGCTACACCCATACGTCACCAACGGGCAAACGGCGCTTTCTCATTGAAAGAATCGTACAGGTATTTGGCTGTTACCCGAGGTCAGAGAGGTTGACTATTGTAAAAGTTTTTGTAAAAGTGAAGTTCTTATTTCTTTTCATGCAGCACCAAGATACGGCCCAGAAAACTGCTAAGCGACCTAACTATAAATTGCCCATGCCCGTCGGGAGAGAAGTTCGTCAAAAAGAGGTCAGTTGGTGCTTTAATTATGATAACATTTGAAAACCATGAGCGAGCTTACTTAGCAGTAAACGGGAAGTATTCTTCTGATTAAATCAAGTAAAATTTATAACTTAAATTGTATTGTTCCGAGGAAAATATTCCAAAAGTCAGCTTTATTCGTCTTGCAATCTAAAAACCCTCAGTGTGTTATGCTACGCTCGACTAAAAGATGCAACGTGATCAAAAATTGGTAATTGCAGAGCGGGGAAACGACTTGATCCATTGTAAGGTTTATTTCTGGTGATCAGTTGATTTGTCACTGACGAGCTATTACTGTTTTTGTCTCTTTTGATAGAGAGAAGACCCGGATCTGGAGGCTAACGAGCGAATGTACTGAGATGAAACGTCCACTCGCTTGGCTTGTAGATAAACTTTGAAAAGGCGCCATTACATTGCAACGCGAGTCCAGAAGTAGTACCGACTATTAATTTATTCCTTTTTAGAGCTTGTAAGACTAAAGTAGAATATTCTGAAATAAAACGATTTGAAACCAGTCAAATGAACAGTATTCTAATTGCTTGTCCCTAGTTTTATCGTGGGGGGGGGGGGGGGGGGGGGGGGAATTAGACTAAAAGACCAAAGAAATATCATGTTGATGGCATTTGTCCAGATTCAGTAATGTATTACAAAGGAAATTTGGGAATGATCTACCCTCAAAGCTTAAAAACACATTTAAAACAAATAAATGTTCATTAAGTCGATTTCCTTGATAAAAAGAAGGCTTGTCATGAAGCATACATCCATCTGATTTCAATAAGAAGGCGAATGCAAGTAGTTCTATAACCCGATGTTTATCCGATTTTCATCCTATTACCATGCAAATAAACGAAGTTATGTGCATGACACGCAAGCGACACCTTTTACCTGAAACAAGGTTAAATACTTAATATGGCTTCGCTTTAAACCAAAAGTAGTCAAAGTAAACACGCTGCATTTAAAATTCAACTGTCGGCACAATGTGAGATAATACAAGCAGTGCACGATCTGCTTTCAAAAGGAAAAAGCACACAAGTTACGATTCGCTTTCAGGCATATTGGCCATTCTGTAGACTCCATGCTTTGTCATCAGATGTAGAAATTACTACAACCTTCACAGTAGCCTGGCACATATGAGTTGATACGTGATATGTTAACAATCCTGTGTAGCTTTTTGAAAATTAACTCTTCGATGCATTAAGACTCTAAAGAAAACCGATCATTAGAGAGAGAGGGGATCATTTTTGACAACAAAGAAGACAATATCGGTTACAGAATCATTGCTTGCTGTGTTAAGAGTTCCCCGGCGGTTTAAAATGCGTGTTGGAATACTCAACAATAATTCTGAGTTATATCGTCAGTGTTTTAGTGTAGCTTCTTTAATGACCGCTGTGAACATATGAAAATCATGTAAGTGAACTGCGGATCAAGAAATTAATACGAAAACGATCTTTGCAGTAATGAACACTACCTGCGCAGTAGTGAAAATAAGGCCTGAAAGATTAAAGCCTGTACGGGATTTGAACCCATGACATCTGCGATACCTATGAATGACTTTCATATAATATATAGATTTAGCCAAGCCTAAAAGCAGAGCTCTTGTTAAGTTATTTTCCAGCCCTTCATTACACTAAATAAAAACTGTAATAAAACACGTCAGCACAGGCTGTAGAGGATTTTCTTCAAGAGGATAAGAGACCAGACGAGGTCTGGAACCTGGGGGCGATGTTCTGAAAACACGCATGCTAGTCAGCGGTATCTTCAACAGCTTAGCACCTTTGTTGTTGTTCCTGATGGTTTGAACAAACATTCGAAGATAGGGAATGTTATCTTCTTCAGATGAAGTGTATGATGACAGTATCAGTTGAAATTATGTTCTATTGAGCGTGACTTATAAGTTCGGTTTGGGAAAATGAGCCAAAATTGAAAGAAACGACGGTAAACAACTTTGCGTCAAGACATCACTAGTCGATTGGAGTGTATACACGTGAGCACAGTGAGTCAGTAAAACAATACGCCAGGATCGTATGGGCTTCTCTTATATCTTCTCTTGAAGTTTCCAGGTATGACTGCTTGCCCCACCATTTTTCCCTAACGTTTCAACCTCCTCTGTTCAGCGTAGAAAATTAAAAAGAAAAGTAATTTTCAACTCATGTTTGAACCTGTAATTTTTTAAAATTATTTTGCTTTCAGCTATTGTTTCATGACTGTCCTCTGGCTGGAAATACACGGCGTCTTTTTCTCATATTTTCTGTTATTTAATTCGGTAACCTTTGGTGTAACTGCATTTAATGAGGATGTCTACAAGAAAAAGCGAGATAATACCTGGATTTCCTTTCCACGTCATAGAAATCAATTCCAAACATCAATTAAGTTTTCTCTTTCGTTTAAAAGTTAAGTTAATGTTGTTATTGGCTATATTAAATAGGTTGAAAAGTTTTAGATGGTATTTTCTCATGTTTGCCATTAATTGAATTTACTGGAAGGTGGAGTTATTGCAACATGAAACGCAACAATAAATTTATTGATATATAAAAAGTTTTCAGTCATTTGACTATCTACTGGCAAGTCTTTGTATTATATTTCAACTCAACCATTTTCCACAACTTGTAAACACCATTAGAAAATAATTAATCAGGGAATGGAAAATTTGAGGCATATAAGCCATGTTGAAATTCCATGTCCACAATAAGCTAACAGGATCAAGGAGGGTGTATTTGGGTGTAGGTTCTCTTGTCTGTATCATCAATTTGCTTATTGCTCCTGTTGGCAATGTTTTGATGAGGTTGGGCTGTCTGGCCAAGGGAACTGAGGATTTCAGTAAGCAGTGACTTTTTTCAAACCTGGAAACTATCATTGTGAAAGCCACACTTGTGCCTGTTAACTCATTCTTATTCTGATAAACTAGTTTTAAGAAGGATACAATATTTTATTATATAAATTTGATGCATAGGTTATGCACAAAACTTTAATTTGACTGAAATTTTATAGCCAATACCAATCCCTACATATATTAAAATGTTAGGAGGATCAGAGGAAAAAATAATGTGCCATACATCTGCAAGATTTCATGTAATTATTTTTATTACATAAATATTAACTGATACTAGGAGATCTAAGAATATTCAAAAGAAAAGAAAATTTGGTTGAAAAATTAGAATTCAGCATGGGCTAGATAAACAAGATTCTTAGGAAAAGAAATGTGTACTAATGAAAAAGCTAAGCAAACTTTTTTACACCACCTGCCTGTACCTTTATGGTACACAAGTAAAGTCATTTGAAGAAGTCATAATCCCAGGTTTATATGTTGAAAACACATGCAGATTCCCTCTAACTCTGTAGTTCAAACTTGTGATGACTTTGAAATTTTGATGCACACCTCAAAAGGAGAACAAATAAATTTTAAGTTTCTATTTATTCAGTTTACATGTTGGTTAGTGAGGTAAAATTGAGTCAAACATTCATACGACAACAGGTTCAAGAAATTTTCACAACTAATTTTTGAGGTTAGCCTACCTGGAACAATCACCTTCAAATTAAACCAGGTTTGTACTGATGATGCCCAAAATATTTATCTGTGGTAAGAGGGAAGCTTTTCTTTCTTCATTTAAAGAAATACGAAGGTTATCATCTTTCCACAAGCTCAGTGGAAATTGAGAGGGAAAGAGACTGATAGTGACTATGTTATTTGGATAAATATCCAAAAGAGGATAAAAATTAAGATATGGTCTACAAAACTTTCATTTCAATTTTTTAACCTATTAAACTAAGGAATTTTTATTCTTGCTTTTTTGCATTATGTGGATACCAATTAATTCAACTTTCATGCATCAAAATACAAAAAATGTTCTCTTCATCTATGTGCCCTAAACATTAGGGACCTTAAGATCCGAGGACGGCGGATGTCTACGACGGCGAGCGGAAGTTTGAATGCGTGTTTACTCACTTCCGGTAGCCGTTCCCCGTAAATTCCCGCCGTAGCTGTGTTGTCTGCGACGTCAAAACAACCAGTTTGCCGTTTCTTACAAAACGTGAGTTGATTACAGTGTTTTTATAAAATATCTTTTATAATTTTCGTATATTTTGCGCATTATGGAGTCAATAATATTTTTAATTCGTTTGCCTACTCTTCTGAGACCTGATTTGCTTCTCCACTAAACAGGTCGTGGCTGCAGCCGACAAGACTTCTAAGAAGATTGCTCAGTAAGTTCTCTTACTCTCCTTTCTTCACGTTTTTAGCAATGAATGAGGTGAAACTCGACACGAGTTACGCTTAGTAAATGATAATCTCTCGATTATTTATGTTTGTGAAAGTGTCTTGCATATTTGGTGAACAAAAAAGGGTTCTGCTTGCAGTAAAAAATAAAATACAAACAACATGCTACACAAACAAAAAGAAAATAGGCGTTAACATTTTATTTTTATCTTTAGAACCAACATGGAGTGGATTGAACAACATGACAATATTCTTTGTCAGGAGATTCTCGTTCTTGAACCATTCAAGGCAAAGATAAAAATAGCGAACAATCTGAACAGCCTTCAACATCCCCAGTTCAGAGTGACGAAGCAATCTGTCTGTTGAGTGACAAATTTAGAGCAAAGATGCGAGACGAAGAAAAGGCAAGAGGAATCGATACAGATTTGAGTGACGTTGAAAAAGCACCGGAGGAGATAGAAAAAGAAGCTGTGGTTGAAGAAACAGCGCAAAATAACAAAAAGAAATTCGATAGTGATAAAGCAGCGGAAATGAGATACAGAACCTTGGCAGGACACAGAAAAGACAAAGGAAAGATGAGATAGAGAATGAAACAGCGGTGGTGACACGGTGGCATATTTGCGAGAAAAGAACGACCTCATGCAGAAGTGGAAAATGGAAGAAATGCAGCTACAGAAGAGGCGACTAGAGGCTGAAAGTAAGAAGGAGGAGCAGTCCAAAAAGCAACATCAGGATTTGATGCAGGTCATGCTGCAGCAAACTAAACAGCAACAAGAACAAATGCAAAATTTTCAGAAGATGTTCACGCTAATGCAGCAGCAGCAGTCTCAAACTATCATAAAACTTCTAGAAAAAGAAAACTAAGTCATGGCCTGATTTTGTACTGTGCAAGATGAATGAAGTTTTCAGCAATTTCAGGCATGTGTTTCTTGATTTTGTTTTGTACACTTGCTTTTGTTTTATTGTTAGGTTTTCCATGTTATATCAGCTTCATGTTAAGACTTTTGATTCAATAAACTTGATTAAAGACTTAATGTTACAGACACTGGACGTTTTTTCTTCCTGGGTTTAGGAGTGTATCATTCCACTGAGGTATTCTGTGATTATGTTCCTGATAAATTGTATCAACTACAAGGCTGAAAATCATACTTAGCTCTGGAACCGGGCGGCCGAATCGTGGAATTAAATCGCTGAGTCTACATGGGTACGTAAACCTTCGAACTGCGATACACAACCCTTCAATTCCATCGCATATTGTTTCTTGTTGACATGTAAAGTAGCTAGGAAGATG